CGCGTGACCTTCTGCCCTCTGGTGGTGACGTGTAACGGTGTGTGGGGACACGATGCCAACGTGTTCATCGCCCACATGGCTCATGCGCTGTTGGAGAAGGAGGGGTGGAAGGGTCGGGGGTTCAGTCATGTGTCTGGATGGATTCGCTCTCGCTTGTCTATCGCCCTCGCGCGTGCGACTAGCTTCTGTCTGCGTGGGGGAGGGAGGGGAGGGTTTGCGGGACTGGGGTGTGCTGATGGGGCGGGGATTGATCCCTCCTCCCCTTGAGCCTGTTTGACTCTGCGTGCTGATGGGACTGTATTTGTATGAGTATCACGGAAACACAGACGAGTGTTACGGTTAATGACAGTTTCCCCCCCCACCTCGCCGGAGTCTGATGACCGTTTTAATGGCAACTGAAAGGGTCAGCTTCATCTTTGTACGGAGCCTCTCACTGTATGTCATTTCCGTGCTGCGCGCTGGATGGAGGACAGCTGGGGAACGGACAGCAACACGTCACCTGCGCGCTGGTGTTCGAACGTCACCCAGTGTTTCTCGATCCAGCGTCCACGACACGAAGACAATTCCACGAACAGACTAACCTCACAGACTAACCTCGCACACAACAAACTGCCTCTCACCCTCGTGTGCCTCCGCTCCGAACGATGGCTGTCTGCATCGATCTATCTTGCCCCACGCGCTGTCGCTTGCACATGATTGATACTTACGCGAGATGGAGTGGATGTAGACAGTCATATTATATCAGAACGACACCGGCATGGCACTGACTTCATCGCAAATCGCCTCAGTCAGTCAGCTGAAAGAGGAACAGGCATCCCATGCATCCACTCACGCACCGCACCCTCTGTACACTCCTGGCTGCACACGACAGACACGCCCATGTATCTTTTGTATCCGCTGCAGGCCTGTCGTCAACATACATAGTCAGTCACGCCCGCAACGACACGCACCCACTCATGTCATGTCATGTGCTGGTGATGCCCATCTTGAGGAGCTCCTCCAGCACACACGGCCTCGTCGGCGCGCCGATGTCTTCGTTAACGGCGTTGTGCACCTCACACATCCACATCGCATACGAATCACGGCTCTCCGTCCTGCACGCACACACACACGCGCGCGCGCAACACATAAAAGCTGTAGATGTGATGTGATGTCAGGGCATCTGCCCGCCAACACACAAATCAACCTACCTTGGTTGTGAGTCTTTGAGTATCTTTTCGAACCCCAGTCGGCAGATGTGGCAGGGGTACAGCCTTGTGAAGGCCCACATCCACGCCTTGGACACCAGCCGCTCCTCGTCACTCGGCGCCGCCGGGTGACGCGCCGCCAGCGTGTGCAGCTGCACACAGGACGAGCAGCACAGCAAGGAACACATGCACGAGCAGTCTGTCGTGAGCAGTCTGGTCTGTGCGTGTGTGCCCGATGCGATGCCTGCCTTTCTGTCTGTCTGTCTGGCTGTCTGGCTGTCTGGCTGTCTGGCTGTTTTACTTACGAAATGCCATCCGGCTTGTCCGATTTCATTGCGGTCTGGCGGAGGAGGCGGGGCGCCCGCAGGACGGGCAACCTGACACAGCACAGCACAACACAGCACAACACAGCACAGCACAGCAGATGAGCAACCATACATCTCGTTGCGGCCTGTGTCATTCGTACCTGCGGCCGGTCTCCACATGAAGCCTCAGTGCACCTCTCGAGCTCACGGTCAAGCTGGTCCATTCCACGCCAGAGAAGGTCTCGTCTGCTTGCGGACAAACAGCGGTTTCAGGCAGCACCCTAGGCTGCCGCTCGAACTCCAGATCTCCGCAAGAGGAGGTTCTTGCTTGGGGAAGCGAGATCCGTGGGTCCGCTGTGATTCCTGATCTCCATAGGCCGCCGGCCTTCGGACGCAACAGATCCCGTACGGACAGAGAGAGATGGACGACGCGCAACTGAGGAGCTTCTGCCGGGATACGGTACACACACACACAGAGAGCACAGACGGCCAAAGGCAGCGGACAGGCGGGGAGACGCTGAAGCCGGTGATACTTTCCCCCTGAGTGTCTTGTGATGTTCTGATGGCCTGCCCGGTGCTGTGCTGAGCAGGCGCAGGCACACTGCGAGCGTGCTGATGAGCTGCTGTCGTCTACAGAAGGCTGGGTCAACAACGGCATCCTGCAGGGCATACAGGTGCCTGGCTGTTTGGCTCACCAGTGCCCTCATGCAGTAGAGAGAGCTGTTGTGGCTGTGTGTGTGTGCGTGTGGCAGACGGAGAGGCTGGATGTGCCTGACCTGCCACCCATCTTCCGTGGCTCCATCGACATCCCCTGCGGCGACGGCGGGGTGACTTTCGAGGCCGCCTTCGACTACATGCAGCACAACCTAGAGAGACGCAAGTGAGTGGGGACAGAGGACACAATGCACCCACCTAACTACCACGTGTGGATGTGTCTCGTGGTGTGCCAGGGAGATCGACCCGATGGCGGAGGACATGTTGGTGCTGAGTCACTATGAGGGCGATGCCGTCATCGCATACCAGTCCTTCAAGGGCATGCTCAGCTTCCCCGGACGAGACTTCGTAACCGTCGCGTAAGCGCAACAAAAAGACAGACAGATGGCCGCCTAGCAGACGGTCGTCCGCTCATCTACATGAGGAATGCATCCCTCCTCCCTGTCTGTCTGTCTGTGTGTCAGGTTCCACAAGTCCAAGTCGCCCACTCACGTCATCATGGCCACGGGAGGCATCGACTGCCTCGCACCGGCGCTCCTAAACACCTTCACACAAGACAATGAAGACGGCGGCAGCGACAGTGACAGCACCAGGGCCATCGACGTGGCCTCCCTCACCGCCCACATCGAGTCCCTCCTGGCGTCAAAGGACGAGGGCGACACCGCCGGCCTGATGGAGCGTGTGGCCACCCGCCACCGCGGCCACATCTACATCGCCGCATACGCAATCCAGGTCCTCGACGACCAGCCCAGGCCCACCCTCCGGATGTCGGCCGTGTCGCAGACGGACCTGGGCGGCAACCTCTCTCAGATGATCCAGCGCATGGTGACCACCAACCACATCACCACGCTGCCCAAGATCGCCAAGGTGCTCAGGCAGCAGGCGGAGCGAGAGAGAGAAGACGATGAGAGCGACTATGAGAGCGATGAGGAGGTAGATGCGGGGGCTGGCAGGGATGAGAATGAGAACAACAAAGGCGACGAGGCGCCCACCCCCACGACGCTGTCGACGCGCGAGAACGGCGAGACTCCCAGTGTGGAGAGCGGCACTGAGGGGGAGGGGTCGCCATCGGCTGGCAAGGAGGCCCCCCCAGCCAGCCACACGACTCCCGCCAAAGGGCCAGCGAGCTGCAACATGGCGGCCGATTCGGCTGATGAAAGCCTCACGCTGCAACCGGGGCAAGAGGCGGCCGCCCAGGCGCTCAAAGAAGAGGTCAGAAAGGAAGAAAGCTGCCTAGCGACCTGACCCACCGAGTGCATCATCAAAAAATGCTGACCTGACGGGCAGATTGATTGTGTGGTGGCGCGCGTGGCGGCCCTGATGGACAGCAAGAGCGACGAGGTCCGGTGGAGGACCGCTGGATCACCATCAGGCGTGCAGGTTAGTGAGGGAGGGAGCCAGACAGACACACCACCAGACACACAGCACACCCCTTCACACTCATCCATCCATCCTGCCATCCATGGTGGGGACAGACGGTCCAGTTGGAGTCTTGCTCGCGCCCCGATGCGGCGGCCTCGTCGACGGTGCTGGACGGGTCGGCGGATGTGTCGTGCCTGCCTCTGTTCAAGGGGTCGATGGACTTCGGCTCCGTCAAGGGCGGCGACATCGCCGCCTTCCTCAGGGCGCCCGACTTCAAGAAACACTACGATCAGCAGTTCCTGGCAGGTGCGTGTGTTGTGTGAGGAAGTGGGTGGCTGGTTGATGCATGACACACGTGGTGTGGTGTGTGGTGCTGTTTGTTTGTGTGCAGGCGAGGTGCTATTCGACTTCAGTGTGGCGAATGGGCGTGTGACGTATCAGGCGTTCAAGGGCATGATGGGCCGGCCGGGGAGGGAATTCATCGTCATGGGCGGCAGAAGGCAGGTGAGATAGACAGACAGACAGACATGCCCGAAGACAAACAAAGGACGGACAGCACACTCACCCTTACTATACGCTGTGCTTTGCTGTGTGCAGGTGTCCCCCACTCGTCTGGTGCTGGCGGCCAAGAGCCTGCTCATGCCGGCCCCTGACGAGCAGCCGACCACCGGGACGCTGCAGCCGCTGGTCGAGCTGGTGCGTGGGGTGGAGCTGCCCCCTCCCCCACCCAACACGGAGCTGATTCGTGGGCACACTGAGGTGAGTGAGCCAGATGAGAGATGGATGGATGGATGGATGGAGAGGGGTGGGTGAGGCAGGGAGTGACATCTGTGTGAATGTGTGTGTGCTGTGTATGCTGTGTGGTGTGGTGGATCGATCAGTTGAGCGCATATGTCATCGACGACACCGGCAACGGACGCACGACCGTCACGATGCTCAGCCAGGTGGGTGTGGGTGTGGGTGTGGGTGTGGGTGTGGTGTGTTTCATGCAACGACCGACAGACAATCAGCCAGCCACATGGATGACATTCATTGTCGGGTGTGTGTTGTGATGTGCGTGGGTCCACCAGGCGTACTTTGGTCATGACCTGAAGAACACGCCCTTCATAGCTCGGCAGCTGGCCATTAGCCAGGTGGGGCATCTCGCCAAGATCAAGAAGTACCTAATTCATGCACTCACTGGCACAGAATAATGAGGCCGAACAGTGACACCCACCCACATAAGTAAGACCTTTCTGGCGTAGGGTGTGCTGGTTTGTTTGTGCTGGTGACGGAGTGTGTGTGTATGTGTGTTATGCTGCCTAGTTCGTGTGTGGCTTGGCCGCCCTGAAAGCTGTGCTGTGGGTGTCTTGCCATTTCCAACCAACAGGCAGGGAAAGGCAGCCAGGCACACCAATCCAATGAGAGAGCAAAAGGGCCCGACCGACAAGTCAGTCGCGCAAGCAAACCACGCACGCAGAGAGAGACGGGCGGGCGGTGGGCGGGCGGTGGGTGCGTGTGGTATGTATGTTGTATGTATGTGTTGACTAGCTGACCGTGTGTTAATTTGTAATGGCTCTCTATCTATCCTCCATCTGTCTGTCTGTCTGTCTATATCATACCATACCATACCATGCCATATGTCCTTGTATACTTAACATCACCCTTCCTACCCACCGCCATCATGTCATCCTGTGTACAGAGGGAGGGAGGGAGGGGGAGAGAGATGCTCATTCATGTCATGTCATGTCATGGGACGTGCCCACTTTCCTGCTCACTCGAAGAAGCACAAGAGAGAGTGAGACGTGCTTCTTGCCCCGCACATGACAGACATGCACCACCCATCGGGACCAAACGAGAGTGGGCGATTTTGGCCGCCGTGCATAGATTGATAGCTCTAGCTAGCAGAATTCATAAGTGCTGCCTTGCTTGCCTTTATTTCTCCACACGCACCGGCGTGGCGTTTTCGGCTCAAACATCTATCTCGTTTTTTCTTCTTTCCCCTTGTTTGTTCTCCGTGTTCGTTCCATCTGGCTACCACTCCATGGTCAGTCAGGCCGTTCGGGCATGCGTGTGCGTGTGCGTGCGTCGACAGACAAAGCTTGAGGTCGGAGTGTGATCCACACACAGCCGACCTTGTCCTTTGTCGCACGGCGTGTACCAATGCTCAGGCTTGACTGCGATATGCGCAGGGAGGACTCGATGGATGCGTGACTTCAAGATGCCAACCAATTCACTGAAGGGAGAGGTGCTTCAAGTGCAGTGAATTCAACCATGAGCAATGCACACACCGTGCGATATATGAGTCCGTCTACGCTGACGACCACCACATGCCATCCATCCATCCACAACACACAGATGGCTCTCCCGCCACACACCACACTCAATCAACATAGCTCTATCCCCTCCCCCCTCTCATCCTCCCCTTTCGCACCCGCCCCCAAGAGCGCACGCAACCTTAGAGGCAGGCAGGCAGGCATGAACACACACACATCGACACACACACACACACACACACAGAGAGAGAGAGAGAGGGAGAGAGAGGGGCACATGCGCAGTGCACGCCCCCTCCCTCCCTCTCTGCACACACAGCCCTCCCCTGCGCACATCCGTGTGTGGGAAGGTGCCTTCCTGCGTGCTGCGCACTCCTGCACACGCGCATTCGCGAACTTCGCAGACCCTACGCATAATTAGGGTTTAGCTGAGCACATCCATCGCCTCGCCGCCCCTTGCAATGGGAAAAAGCCCTCAAAAGCAGAGAGCGTAGGGTTTAGGGTTCAGGGTGTAGGGTTGCGAGCTTAGACGCGCTGGGCAAAGGGGCGCACAAACCGACAGATCTCCGCAGAGAGGCTCTCGGGAAGGCCATACACGCAGTCAGGAGCAGCCAGAAGGACAAGTGAGCTGACATCTCTCTCTGTGTCCGTGTCTGTCTGTGTGTGCAGGTCGAGATGGCGTGTTGCGCCACGACCCGGAGGCTTATTCGGGGGCCAGAGGATTGCTCTCGATGAGGGCTTTGCTATGCGCCGACCAATTGGCCTCTGCGGAACTTCTCTCTGACCCCCTCCCTCTCCCATGTTTGTCCATCTCCGCAGGCCCGTGTTTGGCTCTGTGGGTGCGGCCCGGTCCATCCATTACATGGGTCAAGTGCATCAGCTCATTCGCCACACAGGTGCCAAAGGAGAGGTCAGCAGCAGCCCCACACACAGAGCACCGACGCTGGCGGGATTTTCACGTTTCTGACTGTAGGGTTACCCTTGTCGAGGGTCTGCAGGCCCACAGAGACCTGATAGACAAGATCCAAGAGATGGATATCATTGTGGGGGCTTACTACGGACCAAGATACCGTCAACGAGAAAATTTCCCCTCCTCACTTGAACGTATGAGCCGCCCTCCCACACACTGGTTCCCACACCCACCCTCTCGCTCTCTGTGTGAATGTGTGTGTGCTATGTATGCTGTGTGGTGTGGTGGATCGATCAGTTGAGCGCGTATGTGATCGACGACACCGGACACGGACGCACGACCGTCACGATGCTCAGCCAGGTGGGTGTGGGTGTGGGTGTGGGTGTGGTGTGGTGTGGTTCATGCAACGACCGGCAGACAGTCAGCCAGCCACATGGATGACATTCATTGTCGGGTGTGTGTTGTGATGTGCGTGGGTCCACCAGGCGTACTTTGGTCATGACCTGAAGAACACGCCCTTCATAGCTCGGCAGCTGGCCATTAGCCAGGTGGGGCATCTCGCCAAGATCAAGAAGTACCTAATTCATGCACTCACTGGCACAGAATAATGAGGCCGAACAGTGACACCCACCCACATAAGTAAGACCTTTCTGGCGTAGGGTGTGCTGGTTTGTTTGTGCTGGTGACGGAGTGTACGTGTATGTGTGTTATGCTGCCTAGTTCGTGTATGGCTTGGCCGCCCTGAAAGCTGTGGTGTGGGTGTCTTGCCATTTCCAACCAACAGGCAGGGAAAGGCAGCCAGGCACACCAATCCAATGAGAGAGCAAAAGGGCCCGACCGACAAGTCAGTCGCGCAAGCAAACCACGCACGCAGAGAGAGACGGGCGGGCGGTGGGCGGGCGGTGGGTGCGTGTGGTATGTATGTTGTATGTATGTGTTGACTAGCTGACCGTGTGTTAATTTGTAATGGCTCTCTATCTATCCTC